GAAGCCGGTGATACTGGACGGGACGACGAGGGACATCTCGAAGTTAGAGGAACCGTACAACGAGGGGAGTGACGTGAACCTGATTTGCGAGGTACGAGGTGGCAGGCCGCCCCCGAAGCTGACGTGGTACCTCGACAACGCCGTGATAGACGAGTCCTATCACTACAGCGCCGAGTCTGGCCTCACGGTTAACCGCTTGTCCTATCCTAAAGTTGGGAGGCAACACTTCAAGGCTCGTCTAATCTGCGAGGCCAGCAACACTAACCTCGTGCCGCCGCAGACCAGGCTGGTGATCCTCGACGTGAATCGTAAGTTGCAGAATCATATTTGCGGCGTTATTAAGTTTCCTATTGTTGGATTTTAGCCATTTAGCGTGAGGATAGTTCGCTTGGAATGCAGAGTCCGAGGAAAGGGCCTTGACTCTTCGTGAGTTGTGTGTGATGAATATTCTAACTGTCTCAAAATGTCCATTGTTTTGCATCAGTGACCATCGTTTGACACGAAAAATTATTAGAGTCATTACTTGTGAAAAAGATCTTTGCCCTATGTTGGGTTAAATTTTCAGTTTATGTACGTGTACGTAAACGTAGAATATTTTTGGTAATCTTTGTCCATTTTTTTTTAATGAACATAGTGCAGCGAAGTAGCCTGTTAGGGTGACGTTTTGTTACTGTACGTATACTTCTACTTCAAGATTTTAGGATGCTTTTTATTTTCAATATTCAGCATTTGATAAAGTTCTCAGACTATAAAGTAAATATTTATATAATTTACAAAATAAAAAGTATTAAAGATAATAAAGTTATTAAATTCAATGTGCATTTTATAATACAGTTGTCAACGCATTACAGACTCTTCGTTGTACGACGACAATAAATAATCAACAATAAATAATTTTTAGACGAATATAGTGCTTGTCTGGTGAACTTTGAACAAAAGTGTATGTACGACAATATAAGAAAATACATTCTCTAGGCAGCTTTTTTAAGTCACGAACACCGTATTGCAATTATCATGGCGGAATACCAGGTTAAACAATTATATATTTTCGTCTACTATAGATAAATCGTAACACCAATGACGTCCGTTGGAAAGCATTAACGTAGGCAGCGTTTCTTGCGATCTTTGGCTCGCGTTGTCGGAACTTTCACAACGAAATTATGCAGAAACCAGTTGCTTGTGCGTCGGATTAACGCACGGGTCACGCGACTTACACGCTTGACTCGTGGCAGACAGTCTAGCTTTCTATGGTTTCAAACCAGGATACGTGGCAACTGAACCAAAGGAAGACCGATTAAGAAATATTTTTCTCGTCCGTTCGAGAATTTATATCGCGATACTGATTTATTAAAATTTTCATGCTGCACGAGTAGATATTTTTTTATTCGCGAAAAGCAAGATATCAAGTGCGATAAAACACACGTAGGTCGAATATGTGTATTTATTAAAATTTCTCTACGTAACAGATAATTATTAGATCGACTTAACATTACTTCTGTTTTTTTTTTATAAAAACGTATAAATATATAATAAATATATAATAAAAATATATTTATTATATATAATTGTTTTTAGTATAAATATATAAAAGTATATAAATATCATCAGTTTCCTTAAATTTTTCGTTTAAAATGACATCTTTTAATTTTTTTTTTTTTTTTTTTTCATTCAAAAGACCGGTATAGAAATACAGAAATATTTTACTTATTATATACGTAATAGATATTTATTCATTCATGAAAAGAATGCACTATCATAAAAAATGTATAAAATATTCCATGTATGGTACGTATTACAATATTCAGTGAACGAAATTAATCTCGTAGTGGAAAAAATCCTCTAATGTTCTTCGATTGAACACTGAGTTTAATTGGCTGTACGTTGTTCATTTATCTCAGAAAATATGATTGTTTTCGATCAATATGATATATAGATTTTAATGAAACAACGAAGTAGCTCGATCTTGACAATGAAATAGTTTTTAATACTGTTCCTTTATCATTTTGCGTTTCGTGCGTACACTTTCATTTAAATATGCATTTTACAATGACGTTATTTTATTACATTTTTTGTCATTTCCAAAGACACTCGAAGAGGAGCAAAGATAAATCAGAGGAATTACGAGCGAAGCAACTTGAAATATTCCCGCAGCTTCATTGTATTCTCAACGGCAAATTAATCGCGATGAATAATGTGACTAATATTACTAATGAATACAATTGGTTATTGTAACAACTTCCAACAAATCTGCCACTGCAAAACACGCACACATAATATCCGTACATAATCAATTTCCTTTCGCGCGCGGGCGCAAAATAAAGAAAATAAAAAAAGAAAAGAGTCACGCTGAATTCGTAACTCGCAATGTGAACATCGATTAATTTCCATCCTCGTTCAAAAACAAAAAAAAAAAAAAAAAA